TCCTGTAAGCTAACAAGGGTCTGTGTGCCATCTTGCTGACTAACAAGGGCCCATGTGCCATTCTGCAGGCCAGGGATCCTCAACTAGTAGGATTTCAGGGATGGAATTGGGGGCCACCAATGGGTAGACACAAAATGTTAACTTTCGAACTGCACAAGACTGCACAAGGCTGCAATGTGCATTGGTCCACACAACTGAGAGGTAATTTGGGGTTTTCTTTCTGCTAGCTCTTGTGTTTTTTGCCAACACAAAAATAATCCATGTTAATGTATATGTACTAATATGGAAAAGAATGAAGATTTTCAATAATATATGCATATTATTTGGAATGCAACTTTTGAGCTATACAATTTTGGAAAGGTGGGGAATGATATCCTGACTTATGGTGAATAGGGTGCATTGGGCAAAATAGGTTGAAAACCACTGCTGTAGGCTAACAAAGAACTGTGTACTATATTGTTGACTAATAAGGGCTCATGCACCATCCTGTAGGCTAACAAGAGCCTGTGTACCATTTTATTGACTAACATGGGCCCATACACCATCCTGTAAGCTAACAAGAGCCCATGCACCATCCTGTTGGCTAACAAGGAACCATGCACCATCCTGTAGACTAACAAGAGCCTGTTCAGATGTATTTCTGTGGACGAAATATTATTTTTCAGATGTATATCTGTAGATGCAATACATTTGAAAATTATAGACACTAATAATAAAACGATGTTATTGATAAATTTCAGATTTTTACTTTCTCTTAAAGATTGATGTTAGAATGAATACAAAGCCTATACGTACCTTTTCATAATCTTTTAAATGCATATAACACACGCCCACATTGTGAGCAATTTCCTGGAAAAAAAAAAAAAAGAAAAAAAAGAAAAGAATGAATCAATTTCTTAAAGATTTTTTTTCACAATTTTTGTCCATCACAACAAACATTATTTGGCACAATGCATATCTAATGCCACACCTCTTTAATATGTCATTAATAATGAATTTTTTCATTAAATTTATTAATTATTTATTAATTTATTAATTAATAAACATTTATTAATTATTAATTTATTTGTCAATTAATTGCATTAGCCATTCAAAATTCTTATATTATTCTTCCAGTATACCGTAAATTGATGCATGCAAATAAATAAATATCCTGTTTAATAAATAAACGGAATGTCTACTCAAATATGGGCATCCATTAAAAATAATGTTTAAGTAACATTATTATTATATAAAATTTTATTTACTATAAATTGCGGCATACAATTAGAGTTTTTGAGCTTAAAAAAATATTTTCAAAACTAGGGGTCAACTTACATGGCATGCATAAAATGCAAACCTTTACCACAGAGTTGTAAACAAGTGAGACAGCACTCCTAACAATTACTGTACACCATTTACCCTACCGTCAGCAGGCTTACCCTACCTCCAGCAGGCTGACATAAATATCTGTCTATATTTCTGAGATGAGGTATTGTAATTATTTACTTTCCTGAGACATGGCTCAGTGGATAAAAGTGTTGATAATCTAATGACTTGACCCAAAGAGTTGGGAGTTATGGCTCCAGCAGAGGTGAACAAAAGCTTGGGGAGTTGAGTTAAAGGGAAATAACTGAAACCAAGATATCTGGAAGAGGCATGACATGTGGAACTAGAACAGTAGATGAAATAAAGGGCTTGGTTCGAAATTCCAATCACCTGAAGAAGGCCAGAGCATACAATGGCTGAAACATTGTGAATAAGACAACAAAGATGAGGACAACAGTCCGAACAATGTCAATACTGTAAATAATTGCTATAAATATATCCCACTAAAACTTGTTTGGTGAACGGATTTGGCATATAAAATAACATATTTTTTATAAAATAACATAAATATCATATTTGGTATATAAAATAACATTTTTTTTTATAAAGTAACATATAAAATAACATATAAATAACATAAAATAACATATTTAGCATATAAAATAATAAAACAGTAACACAAATTCAGTATTCTATTTACACTACATTGCACATTGCATCTAATAACTGATACACTAAGTGTCAACATTGACCGTAGCACTGTTTAACTAAGTCAGCCATTCAGAAAACTGTGCAATTTCATGACTAATCACAGTTCAATGTAGTTAGTTCTGGTTCAAGTTGTTGTATATTGTAGTCTAACATCATTTACTGTATGATCTGTAGTGGATCAACAAATATGGTAGGCATAGGTCTAACTCACAATTCTGAGCTTATCAACCTTTTGCAGATTACCTGCAAAAGGTTGATAAGCTCAGAAAATATTTTCAAAGTCAGAAAATATTTTTGGAGATAATAATGATCTGCTGATATAAGCTCAACTAATTGACCCATAACTGGATTCATACCTTTTCTAAATGAATATAACGAACGTGACTGGAATTGGAACTTGGCTCTCTGATTTCCAATTTTGAGCCATTATCCATTACACTGCTTGCACATCTAAGATTACAGCACCTGATTTACCAATCTAAGTATTGAATAGACTCAACATTGCTTAACCAGTCATTGTATGAGAACCAGTATTTCAACATGATATGGCCTTGAGGTTTGGGGGGTGAAGCATCAGGCCTCGATTATCCGTTAGGCTAGTCTAGGTTACAGCCTATGGCCCTACAAGTTTTGATAAAGTGGTGATTTTAATTTGCTAGATGTTAGAACTTCTAAATAGTTTCATAAACTGAAATGATGTTAATATGACAAACTCATATTTATTTTGAAATTTTTCTTGTTAAAAAGTTGAATAATTTAACACATCAACATTATGGATAAAAAATAGGGAATTTTATATAGGGTTTTTTCAAGACTTAGCATAAGTAAAACAAATTCATGGATTTAGACAAAAAGAAAAAAAAAAAAAAAATGAATGATGTCAAAATCCATGAAAATTTTTCATCCCTTAACAGTCAGTTGTGCTTAGTACAATTTGTAACATATAAATCTAGGTAGAAAAAAGTAAATATTGGTAAGATAGTGAGGGTCACAAAGCACTGTCCATGGCCCCTAATCAGCCCCTCCCCTGGACGTCAGGGGAAGTACATGCTGGCCCTGAACTGTACTATCACTAACGATCAAGAATGCTCTTCAGTACATCATTAATAAAACAAAGCTCCACATGCCATTTTGAGGCATAACAAGGGCCCATGTGCCATCCTGTAAGCTAACAAGAGCCTGTGTGCCATCCTGTCTAACAAGAGCCCATGAACCATCCTTTAAGCTAACAAGGACCCATGAACCATCCTGTAGGCTAACAAGGGCCCATGTGCTATCCTGTAGGCTAACAAGGGCCCATGTGCCATCAAGGGCCCATGTGGCATCCTGTAAGCTAACAAGGGCCCATGTGGCATCATGTAGGCTAAGATACAAAAGAGAAAACTAAATCAACAATACCGGACTACAAAATATTGCCTCTTTAACTCTTTGAGCCCCACATTCCTGAACAATTTTAACCCTTCTGCCTGAGCTAGAGTCAAAATTCACAGATAATTGGTATGTAAAGTTTCACGGTAGATATAAAAATAGTTACAAGTGTTTACCCACTGTTCAACCAGTGGCTGGTCATTAAGTCATTTTTTATTTTTTTTTTTTTAACCACTGTTCAACTGGTGACTGGGCATTATGTCATTTTTATCTACCAACAGTAAAGCGGTGGTCAAGGATCAAAAGGTTAAAATATAAAAATAAATTTGTGTTTAGGAAGATTGGAGCACTTACCCAGTCATTTTGGTTGAATTTGGCTGCTTCTTGGTAAACGTCAATAGCCGCCTTATGACGGGCCAGGAGGAAGCTAAGAAGTCAAAAAAGTACATATCATGATAATGTCATACACAATAATAGATTAACATATACAATAAATGTTACTTTTAGTGGGCACACACATTTGAATTGTGTGTGGAAATGAAAATAAAATCAATAACTAAAATAAAAATAAAGAAAAAAAGAAAAAAAAAAGAAAAAAAAAGAAAAAATACATTTTCCCATGTTGCTAGTAATAAAGGGTTTTTTGGCCATATGCGTAATTTTATGGCCTTTACTTTTGAAAAGGACGGAACCTTTCTCCTTCCATTTTCCAACACATAGCATTTGGATGTGTTTTGAAGCTCCACTCATGAAGTAAGTAATTTGGTTGTTCCAACTCTGCACAAAGCTGACTTGAGCTTGACTAATTTAACCATTATTATACTTACTTACCCTAACTTACTTCTGGATGAGAAAAAGAAAACAAGAGACACTGAGAACTTTGTTCCCCTACAGTTTATATATAAAAAAAAAAAAAGATGTGCTACTTTGGCTTGTTATCTACAAGGAAAAACTCTACACCATACAAATTTTAATTTGGAATGATATCTACATAGTAAAACAGGTGATGCTTCAGCTTGTTATTTTTTCTTGTAGATAACAAGTTGAAGTAGTACCATGTTTTTCTATGTAGATATCATTCCAAATTAAAATTTGTATGGTGTAGATATTTTAGTAGATGTACATGCTGTTTATCACTAGAATATAAACAAAAGAAATTTTTTTAATATTTTAATTACATTTTGTTTATGTTTTATATATATATATATATATATATATATATATATATAGTGCTGTTTGATAAAAGTGACTCACCTGATTTTTTTTTACTTAAAAGTTTTTTCGCTAATTGTTTTTGGGGTCAAACTAATTTTTAATCTTACTAATATAAAGACCCCTTCCCGACCACCTAGTAAAAAAGTTTACTCACCCTAAGGTATTCTATTGATAATTATAATTTTGGATATAAATGAGATTTAGGGAAAAAATCTGTGCAAAAAAAGTGACTCACTTATTTCCTGGAACTAGTAATCAATAGAAACATAACCGAACAGCTTTAAATAAAGAATAATAGAGGTATAATTTATTTATAATAGGTAAATATAGTTCGAAATATTTAATAATCTATGGGTCTTCCTTTATTTTGAATAACCTTTTCAACCCTTTTTGGCATTGACTTGATTAGGTTCTGGCAAATTTCATCTCCAAGCATTGAATTCCATTCGGATATGAAATTCACAATCAAATCCTCTTTGTTGCTCAACTGCTTACTCGAGAGCCTGTACTTTATAATGCTCCATATGGGGTTGAGGTCAGGAGATTGGGGCAGCTATGTCATAACACTCACCTGCTTCTCATCAAAGTATTCCTTCAATTTTAATTTGTGACAGGGAGCATTATCCTGCATAAAAATGAGCTTGGTGGGGTTGATTTGCACCCTTTCAGCAGAAGGGAGCAGACAAGTCTCTAAAATTCTCTTGTACAGCTCGCTCCTGAGGGTCCTTTCAATAGGTTTTAAGAAACCAGTTCCATGAAAAGAAAAGCACACTCAGGACATTATACTGAATGGATGCTTGACAGTACTTACTGCTAAATTCAAAGAGCTTTCAAAGCTTCTTCGGATTGTAGATCGTTTATCCTTTGAATTTAGCTCAACTTGCGTTTCGTCGGAGAAGAGAACATTTAGTAAAAAAAAAAAATCAGGTGAGTCACTTTTATCGAACAGCACAGTATATATGTTTTACTATGTAGATATTATTCCGAAATAAAATTTGTATGGTGTAGATATTTTTCATTGTAGATAACAAGACAAAGTAGCATTAAAAAAAAAAAAAAAAAAATAAGTAGGACATAGTAGAAACCCAAATAATTATTAAATGGTTTAATTAGTAACAAGTGGCCTAAATTGATAAGTTCTACTAAAGAAAAATTGTACCACTGACAGGAATCGAACCTGCATCTTTGTTTTCATTGGGATTACCCACTTTTTGAGCCAAAGTATGTCCACTAAAAATAACGTTTATAATAATAAATTTTTTGTGATGTCAATGGACACTTATTGCCAGTTATGTAATATCAATGAATACTTATTGCCACTTTCGTAATACTTGTTGTAGTAGAGACTTTGTAATCGCAGATACAACTATAGTAACGCTGTTGAACAATACTGGTGTCAGATGTCTTCAAATATCACTCGCACTTGCTCGATAATACTCACTCAAAAAGTAACCACCGAATACTGATCTGAATAGTAATCCATATAGTGATTACTTAGATGCCACCCTAATTCCCATATATACATTTCCTTTACTATCATGTGATCTACTTATTCAAAATGGGATTGCCTGTGTTTGCTCTCTGGTGATCTGTGTTCAAACTCCAGTGTTGGCAGTGACACTTTATTCCTATATAACAAAACTAGCAGGAGAGCCTGGCATTGCCCAGGGATGTAACAGTAAGAGATAGATCAAGTATCGACCATCATAAAGACTGAAAAATAAAATTGACAAAGATTATTGTTTAAGGTTGACAAACACACATGTCTTAATAAGTTTTTTTTTTTTTTACGAATTGGTCAAACCCAAACTCAAACAAAAACATTGTTTTCAATCGTTATGAGTCTATCAATTGAATAGAATTTTATTATAAACAATTGTCTTGTAAATGGAATTTTTAAAGCATTCTGAATGTAAAAATAAAGAAAAAAGTGTGCAAGACAATAAGAAACACTACCTGCGAAAAAAAAAAAGTGAAGTTTTGTTGAAAACGGTTGAAAAATGTAGCAAATCCGATCCGATATATAAATGAACACACACACAAACAACCTGGGTTTTATAATAAGTATAACTTAATATGAGTTGTCCCCCTTTCATTCTGGCGACAGAATCGTGTTTTCAATTTGATTTTGTGCAAAAACAATTGTGTTTTTCCAATTTTTGGCGCTGTCAGAACCACCTCAAGGTAATTTTACGCAGTCCTGTGAAGTTTTGTTGAAATCGGTTGAAAAATGTAGGAAATCCGATCCAATATATAAACGTACAGACACACACACAATCTGCGTTTTATAATAAGTAAGATTAGCACATTCAACATTATGGATAAAAAAAATTGTGAATTTTAAATAGTGAAACATTTAAGAAATAATAGATAAAAAAATGGCTGTCCTTTATGATTCAGGTATGAAACTGAAGCTTGCAGATATAGATTTTAGTGAGCCCCCAACAAGAAATGTGTTTGCATTAATAGGTATTTCAAACCTTGCCCTGTCAGGCTGGCTCTGTAGATGAACTGACACAATTTTTCTCAATTTAGGCCAGTAATAGGAACAGGAACTCAAACACATGTATCCACTAAAAATAACATTTATTAGTAATGAGAAATAATGTCAGACTGTTGTCATCATCTTTATTGCCATATTCACAGCATTTTGGCAGTTGTACACTCCGGCCTTCTTCAGGTGATATACATTGGAATTTCAAACCAAACCCATTATTTAGTCCCCAAGGACACATAGCCCAGTGGATAAAAGCTTGGGTTGATTGACCCAGAAGTGACTTCACCCCCCCCACACACACACACATCAGAGAGAACAAAAACTTGGGGAGTTGTGTTATCAAGATGATTTAAGTAAAACTGAGATATTCAAAGGAACGATATGTGGAATTAGAACAATTTACCCTAGTTGACAAAGAGATCAGCTCAAAATTCCAAATATTACCTGAAGAAGTCTGAAGCATAAAATGGTTGAAACATAGTAAATATGGCAATAAAGATGAGGACAACAGTCTGAACAATGTAAATAGTTATAATACCTCATCTCAGAAATATAGACAAACAATTTTTTTTTCGACATAATCTCCTCCTTCCTTATCAGTGATGAATATATATACCTTGTGACCCCCCCAACTCCATCTAAAAGAAAAGGAAAATGCAACTTTGTGCAAAGAGGCTTTGTAAAAATTCATTTTTTTTAGGTCAAATATCAGCAAGTTTGCTAAGCAACCATCCCATGGTCGCATGAAGTTGGAATCCAAAAATAAAGGAAAAAAAAGATAGATGAAATAATCTGTTTATATTTCTGAGATGAGATATTATGAGCTGAAGTCAATAAGAGACATTAAAGAATTCAATGAAACATACAGTGATCTTGCTACTTGTTTTAGGTTGTCCGCACTCTGAGGATTCAAGTAAACACAGTTCTGGAACAAATCCAGAGATTCCTGGATTTTACCTTCTTGTCGGAGAATCAGGGCTGCAAGAAAATAAATTGGCAGTTTAATGAAAGAACAAGCTTGTTCACCACATTAGTTTAAGTTGTTAATTTACATGATAACTTTAAGGAAATTTCCCTCTGAATTTCTGGTTTGAGGAATTATTAGAATTTACATTGGGACAATTGTCCTTATCTTTGTTGTTGTTATCATGATGTTTCAGCTGTTGTGCCTTCAGGCCTTCATTAGGTCTATATCAATCCTAGCAGCCTACAGGAAATTCTGAACTGAACCCTTTATTTAATCTATGGGGATAAACTGTTCTTGTTCCACTGCCCATGTCTAGGGATGTCTTATCTAGTTCTTATTTTTTTGTACTGCTCAGTTATTGCTCGCCCGTTTCTATACGGGACAATAGCCTCATGGATGAAAGCGTTGGTTTGTGAATTTGATGATATAGTGAGCTGAATCTTTGCGCCAGACCATGAGTACTTGAACTCTATGGAAATGAACATGCAATATATATATATATATATATATATATATATATATATATATATGTATACACACTGGGGCAGCAGATAATTATTAAAACATACTAATATAACAGACAATGAACGTCTATTATGTTTGAACATGAGCCATTCTGATGTTCAGATGCTTGTTTTATTTTCTAGTAAAAATAAAGACAAAATTGTCCAACATTTGGATATTTTTTTATTAAGTTGGTCCTAAGCTTTTGGCTCACATGAGCCATCCTCAGCATGGTTATACAGACATCTGTGTCTGCTATTTCGTAACTGTTAATGTTGCATAGCAATCTTCTATATCAAAATAACAAAATATCATCTTTGACAGTGAATATTTTTGTTCCATGTCTGTCTTTGAGGATGGCCCCTTACTATCCCTCCCAGTACCTGTTCTGCCAGTCATTTGCATAAACTTGTTAAGTAGGTTGGTCATGGATCTCCACAACCTCCTAACCATTATTGTTCTAACCAATGTTTGGCCCCTTATTAGCCAAACTTGGAGTTAAAATTGTCTTGTGTCACATCCAGCCTTGGTGGGGAGGCCAAGTAAATATCTACAATGTGACCTTCTCCCAAGCTTTTCACCAACTAGTCAATAATTACCCCACATTGCATTTTGATTCTTGTTAGTGAACAGCAAAAGCCGGGAAAGGGCCAGCTGCTGCTCACAAGTCAAGAAGACAGACAAATGCCACATTGAGGAATAATAATGTGAATTCTGTTTCACATATAATAAAACAGATGTTTTATTCAGGGCTTCGCTGGTTCCTCTGGATGGGTAGGTAGGTAAGTAATACTTGGGAAAAATTCTGCTATGTTGGTCCAACAGCTCAACTCTTCTCTCTATCCCCCCATCAACTTCCTGCCCATCTACTTATCCCAACGTGGTGGCTGACAATACAAATGGATGGCGCAGGAACCACATGACAGACAAGTCCGTGTCCCGCCAAGGGTGAACTAGAACTCTCTCCAACCCCAAACATGACTGTTGCTATAGATCAGCATCTGGATAAACCCTATTTCAGGTCTTGTTGCCACTTGATCTCCAAAAACCTGCCATCCTCTCCTTTAGTTCCCCTTCTCCTTCAGTCAAAGTGGATGCTGCTTAGAAGATTGAATTTCAAAAGGAACAATCTGCTGGTCCATCAAAGAGAAATGCTTGAGATCAAGATAAAACTGCTTCTTCCTTTTCTATATGGGTGTCCATAGTATAACAGATTTAATTAAGGCAATTTGCAGAAAGATAGCTATGTTTATTGCCTTTGTAAGATTCTATTTATTTGCAAATCCTATTTAAACATTATCAATATTTTGACAGGGTCAGATGGCATCAATGTTTTTTAATAAAGGTATGTATTTATTCATTAATTCTAAAACATGGTATCATTTATAGTTTATTCTTTAACTGACCACTTGAAACTGCAATGTTAATATATCTCATCAGCTGCTTGGAGACAATAAGAGTTTTCACTACCATTGTCACTATCTTTGAATTATCTTGAATCACTGTCTGATTTACTCTCAGAGTAAAACAAAGAACAAAGACTTTTCTAATGAGCTATCCCATCAGCTTCATCAAAATGGTTTTGTTTCGAATATTTTATTCACATTATAAATAACTAGAAATACCCATGAAAATATCAGTTTTCCTATTTTAATTTTCTAATGAATCTTAATTCTTAAGTAAATGATTGAATAAGCTTATGCCGAGTTCTACAACAATAAGATATCCATAGAAATTTCCCTTTCACATTGCATTGTTAAATATTTGAGTTTAACAAATTTAACAAAATGTTGCAATTACAATAATAAATATGAATGCTGGTCATTATTTTAAGAAGTAAGGGGGTACAAATGAAAAGATTTGAAATTGACAACTTTTTCCATTTCACTGAAATGGCTGTTAAACACTTCTATCTTCCTCTCTTTTCTCACTGAAGTCAAACAGTGTATCGGATATGTCTTTTCCGCCTTTCCACACAATCAAAATGGAACAGTCCATTATTTTTTTAGGTATGGGCAGGGCGTATGTATGAAAAGATTTGAAATTGACTCATGTGTTGATAGCTATTTCTGATCCCAAGCATGACTGTTACTATAAACCAGCATCTGGATATACCCTATTTCCGGTTTTGTTGCCACTTGATCTCCAAAAACCTAACATCCTCTTTACTTCCCATTCTCCTTCAGTCAAGGTGGATGCTACTTAAAAGATTGAATTTCAAAAGGAACAATCTGCTGGTCCATCAAAGAGAAATGCTTGAGATCAAGATAAAACTGCCTCTTCCCTTTCTATGTGGGTGACACACAGTAAGCATTCATTGTGTTTAGTGGCACATCAACCTCTATGGGTTACTTCATGCCAAAATCTAAATATTTTGAATACAATTTTATGGCTTCAACTAAATTTATTTTGAACACAATTGTATGCCATTAAATACAGATAAAATATATTGTTGGTCATTTTGCTATAAAATGTATTGTTGGTAATTCTACAGTGCTGTTCGATAAAAGTTACTCGATTTTTTTTTTACTAAAAATATTTTTTGTCTATTGTTTTTGGGGTTAAAATAATTTTTAATCTTACTAATATAAAGACCCCTTCCTGACAACCTAGGAAAAAAGTTTATTCACCCTAAGGTATTCTATTGATAATTATAAATTTGGATATGAGATTCAGCAAAAAACTGTGCACAAAAAGTGACTCAGATATCGCATTCTAATGATTAAACTGGTAAATTTAAAGAGCTTTTGACAAAATATTGAAAACTATTTTACAATACACGCAGAACAATATTCTAGAGAATTCTAGAACAGCTTAAATTAAATCTAGAATATTCCAGAAAGCCTCATACAGTATAAAAACAGCTTTAAATAGCCACTCAAGTCACTAACCAGATGAAGGGGTACAAACATGCATCAGACGCACTTAAGGCATCTATTATTGCCCTCTCAAAAGCAGGCAAGTCTATGAGAGAAATTGCAGAAATTGCTATAACCTCGCAATCAACTGTCTCTCGAGTGCTTAGGGCACATAATGATGCCACTCCTGCTCCAAGGAAGGAAATAAGGGGATGAAAGAAAAAGATTGATGATAGAACTGGCAGGGTAATCAAGAGAGAAGTTGCGAAGAATAAGACTATAACTAGCCAAGAAATTGCAGCCAGTCTAAGTGAAGAGCAAGGTGTTAGTCTTGCCTCTTCAACAGTCCGTCAGAACAAGGTTACAAATTTTGTTAGAACAAGGCTACAAATCTTGTATACAAAGGTTTAAGCCGCTAATAAGCAAAGCCAACAATGCCAAGAGACTTGAATAGGCTCACTATTACAAAAATTTCACCGTAGAAGACTGGAAGAATGTTCTCTTTTCCAATGAAATGAAAGTTGAGCTAAATTCAAAGGATAAGGTGAGTCACTTTTATCAAACGGCACTGTACTATTAAAATTTATTGTTGGTTATTTTTTTTTTAAAAATGTGTTAGCAATTTTACTATAAATACATATCAGTAATTTTTCATAGTAAAAATACCAGCAATACATTTTTGTAGTAAAAAAAAAAAAAAAAAAAAATTACCCGCAATACATTTTTGTCAAAGAAAATACTAATGCTCCCAAGAAAATTAAATTTTGGCATTAAATGACCCATAAGGTGTTGATATGCCACTAAACAAACAAAAGGAGTGAAAACTGAACTTTTGTTTATCACAAACATTTTTTGTTTTTTTCAATGACTTATTTTTTTTTTTGCATGACCTTTTGGTATCAACAACTCACCATCCACGTAAAGAGCAAATTCACACAAGCCTCCAGTATCTGTTAGCTGCTCTTTGATTAAGAGCTTACAGGTTTCAAAATCTTTCCTTACATAATGCAGGTGGATCAACCAATTGCGCCGTTCAAAGGCTGGCAATTCTGGAGCTGGAAATAAGATAAAAAAAAAAAAAAAAAGAAAAAAAAAAGAGAATTATAAGAAAATACTTTAATTATCAAAAGGCGTAACAAGGGAAATATTATCCCAAAACAATTAGAACTAAAAAAAAAAAAATTTTATGTTAGAATGAAATCAAGATGGCTAGGGAACTAAATAAAAAAAGGGTTGTAATAAATGGTGAGTTTTGAGAATGAAAGAAAAAAATCAGAAAATGTAATAAATGAGGTGACAGGGGGGAGGGGTTTGGGAAAATGACAAACTCTAATAAATAGTGTGGGTGTCTGTGTATACACTGAAAAAAAATTAGTAAATATAATAAATGGAAAAAAATGACAAAATTTAATAAATAGGTGGGAAGGGATGAGCAAAAAATCTAATAAACGGTGGGAGGGGTGTTTAAAATGTTGGATGGAAAAAGAATCGGTAAATATAATAAATGGGAAGAGTAGAAAAATTATAAAATCTGATAAGCAGGAGGTCGGACAGATGACAAAACCTGATAAGCAGGGGGTCGGACAGATGACAAAACCTGATAAGCAGGGGGTCGGACAGATGACAAAACCTGATAAGCAGGGGCTTGAACAGATGACAAAACCTGATAAGCAGGGGCTTGGACAGATGACAAAACCTGATAAGCAGGGGCTTGGACAGATGACAAAATCTGATAAGCAGGGGCTTGGACAGATGACAAAACCTGATAAGCAGGGGCTTGAACAGATGACAAAACCTGATAAGCAGGGGCTTGAACAGATGACAAAATCTGATAAGCAGGGGCTTGAACAGATGACAAAATCTGATAAGCAGGAGGTCGGACAGATGACAAAATCTGATAAGCAGGGGCTTGAACAGATGACAAAACCTGATAAGCAGGGGCTTGGACAGATGACAAAATCTGATAAGCAGGGGGTCGGACAGATGACAAAATATGAAAAAAAAGTGAGGTGGACAGATGATAAAATTTAATAAACCAGGGTAGGGGTGGACAGATGAAAAAATCTAATAAACAGTGCAGTAAAAATAATAAATGTAATAAATGGTAGGGGTTGTAAAAATGATAAAATCTAATAAGCTGCGGGTTAGCAAGATGGCAAAATCTAATAAATGGGTGAAGGGGCTGTTTTCTCCTTTGTGCCTTGACTGCATGAATTTAAACGTGCTACTAGATTGGCAACTAGATCTCACCATTTTACTGCTGAACTAGTTAGATCCAACTGCCAGTTCTAGTTTAATAGTTTCTTTTCTTTCACTTTTCACCTGTAGAACTTCTGATTTCTTGCTTCTCTGCCACCTACAATTTGCAAAAATTTAAATGCTACACCAATTGCCATTTTCTGTTTTCCATGTACCTGTTCTTTTATTGTCCTTTCTCCTCGCTAACGTCTTGTAATTCTTTTTCACTCCTAGTAACACCTTGTGTCGTAGTGGCATTATCATTTTGTTTGGGGAGAAATGATTTAAAATAAAAAAAATAAAAAATGCAACTGTATGTTCTATTCTAATAGTTTCTTCCCCCCCTTTCTCACCTGTAGAACTCTCTTCTGATGTCTTGCTTCCCTGCGATCAACAATTTGTAACAATTTAAATGCAGTATGTCATGCCTCTTACATTTTTCTACACAGATCGGATGTTGACCACATGATGATCCAAAGCAGGTGTAAATACATTTTCTGCACATAGGCTCCATGCTTTAACCAAAATAGAACGAATAATTTATTGACCAGTCAGAGCCAATCTCGCTCCAAGAACCAAAACTTTAATTTTGAGCCAAACAATGGCTATATATGCTCTAATTAAAACAAACTCTTGGACGTCAACAATGGCAAGCTGAGAGCCGCATCACAAACCAGCCTTCACGTCAACACCAACACAATGAGAAAGAAATAATAACAACCTTCAGCAATGTCTAATTTCACCATTCTATCTCCCTGTTGCTTTAGTAGCAGCAACAGATAAAACTTGTTAATTTTGTAAGCATAAACTACAAGAAGACAGAATTCATGGTCATCAGCAAGAGGATGAGCCTGAAATGTGATTTGCAGGTCGGGAACACTAGAATCAAGCAGACACAGAAGTTTAAATATCTCGGAAGCATCTTGACAGAGGACGGTAAGTGTGACACTGAGATCCATAGACATATTAGAATGGTCAAGGACACATTCCAAAAGCTGAGCAGGGTATTGCGAGACAGGAGGATTTCTTTGGTAACAAAGAAAAGAATACTGAGCTGTTACATGACATCTGTACTTCTTTATGGCAGTGAATGTTGGACAATTTCCTCAAAGATGAAGAGACTCGAGGTGACGGAGATGTGGTTCTACAGAAGGATGCTAAGGATATCATAGACTGAGCATGTGAGCAACAATGAGGTTTTAAAGAGGTTACAAACAAGGAGAAGGCTTATACTTAACATTAGAAAGTGGCAGCTGAAGTTTCTGGGACACATGATGAGGAAGGAGGGCCTGGAGAATCTGATACTCACAAGTCAAATAGAAAGAAAGAGAGACAAGGGAAAGCAGTGCATGACATACCTGGCGAACTTGAGCAGGTGGATGACAGAATGTGGTCTGGGGGAGGAAGCAGAAGGAAGGAGCTTGCCGAGAGCTGCAAGGGATAGGGGGAAGTGAAGAGCCATGATTGCCTATGTCCTGAAAGGACATGGCACATAAAAAGAAAAGAAAGATGTATGTAAATAAATTATACATTTATTTGCCCATACTCAAGTGTATTCTTTTTTTCTTTAATTTACATTTGCCGAGGCAGAGAAGGAATTAATGTCCACAACAGTAACAACAACAACAACAAGGTTCTGAATTCCAGGTTAACCATTTTTGTCTCTGCAACAAATGCCAATTGCCATATTGTCTTTCTGAAATCTGTTCTTTTATTGGCCTTTCTCCTCATTAAAGTATTCTCATTCATTCCCAGTAAGCCCCTGCGTTCTAGTGACATTATCATTTTGCTTGAGGTGAAATGATTTAAAAAAAAAAAAAAAAAAAAAAAGAAAAAAATATTATCAAGTCTGTACTACCAAGTTTTTCCACAGTGACTTTTCCCTCATGTTTAACATGAAGCAAGCTATTTTCTTCAGTTAGCGAGAATCGTTTACCTTACCCTTGTAAAAGTTTCCTCATATACATTCTTTCACATGCCAGTGTTAAACTGGTTACATTGGACACATCTCAGAGAGATTAAGAGTGTATAATTAATCAGCATATTTCATTTTGGATTAGCAATGGCCAATTGCATCATACCAAGACATTAGCACCTATCCAGAATATTTCGGGTTCAGCAATTGGCCAATTGTCATATTAATAAAGCTGTTTGCGCTAACATCTTTTCAAATTAAATGTTTCAAAATTCTAAGAATTGCATGGTCGTCATTTCATGTAGAAATCCTTGAATCTCTTTTGATCTGTAGACAACAACTGTCTCCTTATTGGAAAAAAGAGTTTCTTTATTTGTTAAAACAACCTGATATTACTTGAGTTAGTTATTATGCTTTTTTTTTGAAATGACAGATAAAAATTACTTTTAAATTTTAAAATGATTTCATTCATTTTTTATGGGGGGGGTAATTTTGTTTTATCATTTGATATTTTAAATTATCTCAAATGGTCTTCTTTTATAATGGTTGATTGAAAAGATGGCATGCACCACCATTTTATTTTTTGGAGCACTACTTAAATAGACTGGTCCTCTCGTAAAAATATGGAAATTTTTTTTCCATGGAATTAGCATTAGACTTTACATAAACCAAAAAATCAATCCCTGACATTTTACAGAATTATTGGACTTAACCGTTATTTACAAATGTCAAGTTCAAAACTGCTTGCAACATTCATATCTGCATATATTTTTATTTTTTATTTATTTTTAATTTTTTGTATTTTTAAAACATTTTTTTTTTAATTTTTTGTGGGGAGGATTCTGAAACACATGCCCAATCATTAGAGGATAATAATTATTTATCTTAAATGAAAAATATATGCTTTTATTAATTTATGTAAATAAGTGTCCAATAATTAAAAAAAGGATATTTATTCATTATTTAAAAGAAGTCTTTTTTCTTGGATTATTTTGAACTATTTTTCTCATATTAGTTGATAGAAATGTTGTTAAAGATACAACAGAGAAAGAGAAAAAAAAAAGATACGACAGAGAAAGAGAAAAAAAAAAAAGATACGACAGAGAAAGAGAAAAAAGATACAACAGAGAAAGAGAGAAAAAGATAAAACAGAGAAAGAAAAAAAAGATACAACAGAGAAAGAAAAAAAGATACAACAGAGAAAGAGAAAAAATACAACAGAGAAAGAGAAAAAAGATACAACAGAGAAAAGAAAAAAAATACAACGATACAAACAGAGAAAGAGAGAAAAAAATACAACAGAGAAAGAGAGAAAAAGATAGACAGAGAAAGAAAAAAAGATAGACAGAGAAAGAGAGAAAAAAGATACAACAGAAAAAGAGAAAAAAAATACAACAGAGAAAGAGAGAAAAAAAAGATACAAATAGAGAAAGAGAGAAAAAGATAGACAGAGAAAAGAAAAAAAAGATACAACAGAGAAAAAGAGAAAAAGATACAACAGAGAAAGAGAGAAAAAAGATACAACAGAGAAAGAGAGAAAAAAGAGAGAAAGAGAAAAAAAAAGATACAACAGAGAAAGAGAAAAAAAGATACAACAGAGAAAGAGAGAAAAAAGAGAGAAAAGAGAAAAAAGATACAACAGAGAAAGAGAAAAAAAGATACAACAGAGAGAAAAAGATACAACAGAGAAAGAGAAAAAAGATACAACAGAGAAAGAGAGAAAAAGATACAACAGAGAAAGAGAGAAAAAAACAACAGAGAAAGAGAGAAAAAGATACAACAGAGAAAGAGAGAAAAAGATACAACAGAGAAAGAGAGAAAAAAGATACAACAGAGAAAAGAAAAAAGATACAACAGAGAAAGAGAGAAAAAGATACAACAGAGAAAGAGAAAAAAGAGATAGACAGAGAAAGAGAGAAAAAAGAACAACAGAGAAAGAGAGAAAAAGATACAACAGAGAAAGAGAGAAAAAAAAGATACAACAGAGAAAGAGAAAAAGATAGACAGAGAAAGAAAAAAAAAGAACAGAGAGAGAAACAAAAAGAAAGAGAAAAGAGAAAAAGATAGACAGAGAAAGAGAGAAAAGATAGAAGAGAAAGAGAGAAAAAGATAGACAGAGAAAGAGAGAAAAAAGAGAGAGAAAAAAGATACAACAAGAAGAGAAAGAGATACAAAGAAAGAGAAAGAGAAAGAGAGAAAAAAATACAACAGAGAAAAGAGAAAAAGATAGACAGAGAAAGAGAAAAAGATAGACAGAGAAAGAGAGAAAAAAGATACAACAGAAAAAGAAAAAAAGATAGACAGAAAGAAGAAAAAAGATAGCAAAGAAAAGAGAAAAAAGATACAACAGAGAAAGAGAAAATAGACAGAGAAAGAGAGAAAAAAGATACAACAGAGAAAGAGAGAAAAAGATAGACAGAGAAAGAGAGAGAAAAAGATAGACAGAAAGAGAGAAAAAGATAGACAGAGAAAGAGAATAGAGAGAGAAAGAGAAAAAAAAAGATACAAAGAGAAAGAGAAAAAAGATACAACAGAGAAAGAGAGAAAAAAGAAACAGAGAAAGAGAGAAAAAGATAGACAGAGAAAGAGAGAAAAAGATAGACAGAGAAAAGAGAAAAAGATAGACAAAGAAAAAAAGATACAACAGAGAAAAAGAAAAAGATACAAAGAGAAAGAGAGAAAAAAGATACAACAGAGAAAAGAGAAAAAAGATACAACAGAGAAAGAGAGAAAAAAGATAACAGAGAAAGAGAGAAAAAAATAGAAAGAAAAAAAAGATACAACAGAGAAAAGAGAAAAAAAGATACACAAGAAAGAGAGAAAAAGATACAACAGAGAAAGAGAGAAAAAAGATACAACAGAGAAAGAGAGAAAAAAAGATACAACAGAGAAAGAGAGAAAAAAGATAGACAGAGAAAGAGAGAAAAAAGATAGACAGAGAAAAGAGAAAAAAGATACAAGAGAAAAAGAGAGAAAAAGATACAACAGAGAAAGAGAGAAAAAGATACAACAGAAAGAGAGAAAAAAAGATACAACAGAGAAAGAGAGAAAAAGATAGACAGAGAAAGAGAAAAAAGATAGACAGAGAAAGAGAGAAAAAAAGATACAACAGAGAAAGAGAGAAAAAAGATACAACAGAGAAAGAGAGAAAAAAGATACAACAGAGAAAGAGAGAAAAAAGATACAACAGAGAAAGAGAGAAAAAAAGATACAACAGAGAAAGAGAGAAAAAAGATACAACAGAGAAAGAGAGAAAAAAAGATAGACAGAGAAAGAGAGAAAAAAGATAGACAGAGAAAGAGAGAAAAAAAGATACAACAGAGAAAGAGAGAAAAAAGATACAACAGAGAAAGAGAGAAAAAAGATACAACAGAGAAAGAGAGAAAAAAGATAGACAGAGAAAGAGAGAAAGATAGATAACAGAGAAAGAGAGAAAAAAGACAACAGAGAAAGAGAGAAAAAGATACAACAGAGAAAGAGAGAAAAAAGATACAACAGAGAAAGAGAGAAAAAGATACAACAGAGAAAGAGAGAAAAAACAACAGAGAAAGAGAGAAAAAAGATAGACAGAGAAAGAGAGAAAAAAGATAGACAGAGAAAGAGAGAAAAAAGATACAACAGAGAAAGAGAGAAAAAAAGATACAACAGAGAAAGAGAGAAAAAAGATACAACAGAGAAAGAGAGAAAAAAGATACAACAGAGAAAGAGAGAAAAAAGATACAACAGAGAAAGAGAGAAAAAAGATAGACAGAGAAAGAGAGAAAAAAGATAGACAGAGAAAGAGAGAAAAAAGATAGACAAAGAAAGAGAGAAAAAAGATAGACAAAGAAAGAGAGAAAAAAGATAGACAAAGGGAAAAGAAAAAGAAAGGAAAAGAAAAAAAAGAACAAGTAAAAAGTAAAAGAAAAAGGAAAGAAAAGAAAGAAGTCTGTTTTTATACACAGAACAATTAAGTTCAGGTAACTGTAAAAAGTCAGGAATCAATTTTACACTGTACTGATATTACAAACAGGATCCACCTTCTAAAATGATAAAACAATCTTGAGGAATCCTTGTCTACAAATATTTCCCAAAATTCTTTTTTTTTTTTTTTTTCGAGTGGACCAGACTATTTAAGTAGTACCATTTTTTTCTGATAGTAATTTTCAATATGTTTCTACTTCATCATGCTATATTTAATTTTTGAATGACCAAGAAATTATTGAACAAAAACAAAAATGTACCAATAGAAAGCATACCAATTTCTTCTTTTGTGACAAGAGAGGATTTATTCAGTGACTTATGACTTTTATAAAAAGTCAGAGGGAAAACCATCTTTGTTTTTCTTATGTAGGGTTTTATTACTCCGAGTAAAATTTGCAGAAGGCTAGAATTTCAGTTTGTGGAATAGCAGATCTAATGGAATAATTATATTACTGACCTTTTCGCAATTTAGCAGGGGCAGATGGCCGGAGCAGTGCAGCAGGTGTTGGGTTCTGAATAGAAGAAGAACTGGAGCTTGGGCTCACAGCTGACGTTACTGCCCCATTTTCCTTTTGAAAAAAGAAAAAAAAAGAAAACAGAAATGAGAAAATATTGGAAAGTGTATCTTTAAATGACATGAAATGGCAAAGAAAGTTACAAATAAATAAAAAAAATAATGCTAGTCTGATGTTTTCTAGATTTCAAATAAATACAACAATTTTGAATGCTGATAAAAGGGGTGCTGGAAAGAAACAAAAAATATTGTGATCTTCTCTACTCTCCAAGGTCCACTATAGGCATTAGTACATTCATGCTATACTAACATCTAATTTGATAGAAAGAAGGAGTAGAATAAACCAAAGAAATTAATTCCAAAAATGAAAACATTTTATATACAAAACTGAAGTACGCATATAAGTCACAGTAAGTTGTTGTTATATATATATATATATATTTTAAGCAATTCATCCCAAGCAAGGCGGAAGTGTCATTAGCATGCAAGGGGTTACAGAGGATTGAGAACAAGAGTAAAGAGGCATGTTTGAGGAAAGGATGGAGAGAAGGGCAGGGAACAAGATCAAAGTATCAGAAGATGTCAATTAACATTACTCTTGAATATTTAAAGATTATAGTTATCAGGGAAGCAAGCAAGAGGAAGGTAGTTTTACAGATGGGAAGCAAGAGAGAAGCTGTTTGAGTAGCATAAATGATTACATTTAACCGTTTCGACAGTGAAAGGGTGAGACCAAGATGCCAGCCTAGTAGCTCGCTTAAATTAATACAGTCTGGGAACCAGTAAAAGTAGCTTGTTGGAACAGTTGCTGTGAAAATACTTGTAGAAGAGACAGCGGGAAGCCACAACACATCTGTGAGTGAGTGAGTGAGTGAGTGACTGTAGAGGAGATGCCAGATCAAGACCTATCGCATTGCATATTTGTTGTTGGATTTTGTTGAGGATCTCAGGAGCAACAGACTATATATGACAGCAATATTCCATACAAGGATGGATGGTTGATTTATAGATTTGAAGGATGGACTCAGACGAGAAAAACTTTCAGGTACAACACACAGAACCAAATTTCCTTGCAATAGATGAAGCTATTGATTCAATGTATTTGTTCCACCTCATGTCAGCGGACAGTGTGAGAAAGGATAAAGAACAAGTAGGAAACAGATCTCAATCAAACATGTTTCACTTTATCAGCTTCAAAGATAGAAATGATAAAAATATGATAAAAAGCAAGGAGATGCAGCTTAATGATATATTGTGTTTGCTTATTGGTTAGATACGTATATGTAGATATTTATTCTTACTCTCTCGTTCAAGGAAACTCCTATGGGTCCCTTATACTATCGGCAAACTATACTTCAACAAGTGTAATTTTAAATAAAATTTTAAATTAAATTAATAAATAAATTACATTCTTTTTGTGTAAGTCTTGTTACCAGTAGCTGTTACATATGATGTCATGCTAGACAATTCCAAATGTCCAGCTTACCAAAGAATACCAGAATGCAGACAAAGGAAGTCTTTCTACCACACAGACACCATATTGGTTCTTGATAATGACTGCAAAAGTTGAAAGTACTTGAACAAGAATAACAAAATATGAACTTCAGACAGTTTATCCACAACTTTGGTAACTTTATTTGATTTTGGCCAGATGGGTGCTTTCCCTGATCCAGGTGAGTTTGGTTAGTGTATGCAGATGTGCACACACTGACTATATTCTTTTTTTGTTTTTCATTTTAGTCTTGCCTGGGGGAATAAAGGTTTCCATTTTTGTACTAGAGCTGCCAACTTGCTTGACGATTGAGTAAAAGCATGAAACTTATGGTAGCAGTCAGATACTGTAGACCATAAATTTAGTTCTTAATTTAGAAAAGCTCTACCATTTTATATGGTGTTGAGCACTTTTTATTTCCGGTGTACATTCACAGAAGACTGTTTTTCAGATCAGCTTATTTCTCTCTCTCTCATATATATATATATTTTTTTTTCATATATACAAAAACAGTCTATATGAAAAAATTATAATAAATAATTATGGCTCTACTATTAGTATTGAGTCCTCTATTAAATTAATGCTGTGAATGTTAGAATTTATATATTATTTTCATTCTCATTGCATCGGGTTTGTTTGTTTTGTTTAATGGCATTCCAACCTTAATGCTCACTTTATGTCAAAAACATCATGTATGCATATATATAATTCTCAAAATGTGTGTGTGATCAGATGTTGTTTATGCATTTCCAAAGTTTTCATCAGATTTTGATTAAATTTTTTGAGTCCAAATTGGTTGGAAAAAATTACAACCTTGAAGGTGAAAAAATTGAAAAAAAAAACTGATTTTTTACACTTTGTGCAAAAATCAAAAGGTAAAATTTAATATCTGTAAAAAACAACATACAATCAATTTAGAGAGTTGAAATCTAATGTAAAAGATTATTAGAATTATTACAGATTATTAGAATTATTATTATTAAAAAAAATAATATAAATAAAAATTATCATATATTATTATTATGATGGACCATGGAAGAGGTTCTGTCCTTGCAAAATTGAGAATGCAAAAATGGCCCTTTTCATGGCCACCTCCATTCAAATTGTTAACCCCCTATTTAGGGATGTGCTTCAGTTGCACCCAATTGTTGTTACTAATATTGATTTTCAGGTGGGCTGACTTTAAACTGCTCCAATTGAACAGAAAATATTCCCAGTAATGAGACATCTGGTTGAAAACAGGTTATACTGCTAGTATATACATATATGAGGAAACTGTAAGACAACATGGAACTTATTTGTGATGTGTTTCATATGTTAGGACTTCATTGGATTAGGTTTGTTGACTACAAATGTGGATGAACAAGAGATGCACAGCACAAATTTTGGGCATTTGTCACAAAAGTTTCTCAATGATAATTAGTTCCATTCTTTTTTCAATGTCTCTAAGAGATTTAAAAAATTTTTTTTTCACTTTTTTGTAAAGTTCATCCCATGCTAATTGTGGGGGGTCGCTTCAAACTTTTAAACTGTAATGTACATCATTATCTCACATATTGAACATAAAGAAGAAAATGCGGAACAACAAAGATCTTGATTTTATACATTTATAGCATAGGTCAAAGCAGAGGGTCAATTGTTATCTCAACTTAGTTTTAATTTAATATTTAGGAATTATTGAATATAAACAAGAAAATACTGAGCAATACAAAGATCTTGATATTTTATAAGTACCGCACAATTTAAAAATTATTTAAGTATGCCCAGTCTTCACTTTCCAGTCTTGATAGAATCCCAAAAACATCTTTGTGCCCTTGTAGGTGACAAATCATCTTCCGTCCTACAACCTATTTCTCACAGACAACATTGTAAGCCTTTTGCTGGTCTGTAGCTATTTTCCTGGAAAGTGTTCAGACGAACTACATTCTTTAGTTCCACCAGTCCCAAACTTCATGATGAAGACCTGACATATCACACACATTGTAGTGAATGACCCCCAATCTTTTTGTATTCCATTGGTGTAATAAAAGTTTCACTTGAGCAGTTTCTTTCCATGAACCACTGCTTTGTGGAATCGACTCCCAAGAGGATGCTTTTCCAATCATGACAATTTTAATCTTTTCAATCAAGGGTTAATTGTTATCTTCACCACATATCTATATAAACTTTGCTTTTTAATCTGTAACCCTCTACCTTGAATGGTTCTTGGGCCTTTTACAGAGTGAACATCTTTGTATTAAAAAAAAATCCATTTAAAATTTTTTTTTTTTATTAATGTCATGTGTGAATTAGTAATAATATAAATAATGCAAGTCTGCAGTGACTTGACAATTTGCCTAATAACCACTGATGTCTGTGTTTAAGTGCATTATTTATAGAAGGGAAAAAGTGTGGAGTAATCCAGGCTTCACCTTTTATTATCCTAATTATTTTCATCCGTGCATCTTGTTGGCAATTTCTGCTCAACACCGCGGAGTGTCTGCATCTGTGAGAAAGCTAACTTTGATCTTATAATCAATCAGTATGTTTTCTTGCCTGTCAGTGGGTCGCAAATATGAAAACAGTTTTGGGTCAAGAGGAGATTAGCTTTATTGACACCAGCTGAGTTAAATAAAAAAAGACAATAAAAAGTGACAAGGTTTTTTGGAGGTCATCTAAGTAAGATGTGTGGGTAATGTAGCCAGGAAATAGCAGTCAGAGAATAGGGACTGAATTCCACACAAAATATGTTGCAATTGCTTTCACATAAATAACCTTTAGGGAAAGGTATGAATCCACCTCCTCCCACAGCTTTGTGGGAAATAACAGGGCAGACTGGGTTCTTCAGCCTTGGTTGGCAACCAGTCATGGAGAAGAACACTGAATTCAAAACCAGTTTGTGTGCTAATGGACAGACAGAAACTCTCTTGCTTGACAACCTTTCAGGAAATGGTGACATAATAAAACAAAAATACACGCAATCCACCCAGTCTGGGCCATTCTTGGGGATCAGTTGGCTTATAAAAGTTCACAATGATAGTGTGATGCAAGAAGAAACAACATCGACTTTGTTGGGGTAAGAGCCTTAGAGGAAACATTATATATATATATATATATATATATATATATATATATATATATATATATATATATTATTATGGTCCAGGTTAGGACCAAAGAAGAACATGAACACAAGAGTAGAAATAACAAAGGTATATTACACGAAATAATAATACAAGATGTGGAAGGTGTTAGTATGACTGTCAGTCTGGTTTGGAGTGAACTACTATCAGCTTGACTTGATTTGTCTCTCTCTCTTGAGAGGCATAGTATACATAGTGTTAGGAAGAGTTCATTCTGTAGTTATAGGTAAGGACCCATGACACATATACATATATCAATAGCTGGCAACTTGTATTCAAGGATACCTGTCTATGAGGGCGGCTAGCCAATCCCTGTTGCAGAGACTCACTCAGGCACATTTGTGTTTGCACAACACCCACAGAACCAACCTGTGGTTTATACTGCAACTCTGGGAGATAGAGAGCATGTTATCTAGCGTGATCAACAATTTGAACAAGGCC